CTTAATTGCTGGGAAGGTTAGAGCAGACTTGGAACCCTGCTATATGACTCACAGCTGCTATCCTGTCTTGCTGAATAAGGGCTTACTTGTCACAGATTATATACTAATCCAAGGCAAGCCATTTTAGGATGATCACCTGCTAATTATTAGCTTGTCCCATTATGGCTTCTGACAGATGATTGAAATGGTAATGCTCTTCCACTGAGGCTGGCAATATTCCTAAGGAAGTTGGCCTAAGCTGGTTGAAAAAGCTAGGTGAACATGAGACAGTGACCAAGCAGGAATGCAAGCCAGGAAAAAATGTTTGTCCATGGCTTTTGGCTTCATCTTCTATCTTCAGTTTCTGTTCTCAGCTCCGAGCTTGATGTACTATGATCTGACAGAACCATTCACAGCAATCATTTGTTACCTGAGATGCTGTTGCTTAGAGGTATCAATTGAAGCAGCAGAATAGCAAGGTAGAAAAACAACAGCAAAATGGTATCAAAAAATGATTTTGCTATCTGACACTATGTTTTCTATTAGAGGAATTTGGAAAATATAAGAAAGTGAGATGGCAAAAGTCATAGAAGGCTGTACATGGAGCTTCACCGGTTGTTCTCATAGGATATGAAACATTGTTCACAGTAATCCAGCAAGAGGAAGTTGAGAACATAGTATTTTGTGTAAAAATAGACTCTGAAAAGTTGAGCTTGCCAGGCGGTGGTGGCGCACGCCTTTAATCCCAGCACTTGGGAGGCGGAGACAGGTGAATTTCTGAGTTCGAGAGTTCGAGGCTAGCCTGGTCTACAGAGTGAGTTCCAGGACAGCCAGTGCTACACAGAGAAACCCTGTCTTGAAAAACAAAAAAAAAAACAAAAAAAAAAAGAAAAGAAAAGTTGAGCTAGAGGTCATTTGTGTGATACTGTTGACAAAAATGTTTCATTATATGCTTATGCACTTAGATACTGAATAGGGAAAAATTTAGAAATAAATGTATTTGTTCTCTTTTTCCTATTTAATTATATATTCAATGTGCATCTCATTTGATATTCCCTCTTTATTCTGCCTTACATACTCCCTCATCTCTAACTCCTCTTCATCTCTCCAAGGAGGGAATGGACCATTTCAATGTTCCTTAACCCAAGCATGTCTACTCTCTGCAAGGCTAGGCACATATTTTCCCACTGAGGTAAGACAATGCAGCCAAGTTAGGGGAACAGTTCGCACAGATATACAACAACTTAAGGGACATCCCTTTCTCTACCATGTGTTGGGGGACCCACATGAAGACTGAATAGCACATGTACTACATGTGTGGTGGGGACCTTAGTTCAGCCTGTGTATGCTCTTTGGTTGGTGGTTCAGTCTCTGAGAGTCTCCTATGGTCCAGGTTAGTTGATTCTGATAGCCTTCTCGTGGACTTGCTGTCTCTTATGGGGCCCTCAATCTATTCCCCAACACTTCCAAAAGACTCCCTGAGCCCTGTCTAATGTTAGACTGTGGGTCTATGCATCTGTTTCATTCAGGTGCTAGATGGAGACCATCAGAGGACAATTATACTAAGGTCCTCTCTCCAAGTATAACAAAGTATCTTCAGTAATGTCAGGGAGTAATGCTGCCCATGGGATTGGTCTCAAGTTGGGCAAGGCATCATTTGGCCATTCCTTCCATCTCTGCTCCATTTTTGTGGCTGCATTTTTGTAGACAGGACCAGTTTTGGGTAGATTGTAGGTTTGGTTGGTGTCCTTAACTCTCCACTGGGAGTCCTGCCTGGCTGCAGGATGTGGCCTCCTTAAGGTCCATATCTTACTGTTATACATCTCAAGATCAACCCCACAGATTACTTGCTGCCTTACCATTCATTATCTCTGCCACTTTCTCTAGGATGCCCCCTCCACCCAGTCAGCTGCAGATTTGGATTTATTTTCACCCTCTGGTCCTCTCTGGTCTCTTACCACACCTGTTCCTAATCCTCCCCCCATTACCCTTTCTTATCTGCTCTCACATCCAGTTCTCCCTCTTCCATCTACCTCATATGACTGTTTTATTCCCCCTTCTGAGTGAGATCTACCATGTTGATTTGGACCTTCCTTCTTGTCTACCTTCTTTTGGTCTATGAAGTGTAGTTGGATATCCTGTACTTTATGGTTAATAATCACTTGAAAGTGAGTCCATACATGCATGTCCATTTGGGTCTGGGTTACATCAGTCAGTATATTTCTCCTTCCATCAACTTGCCCGCAAATTTCATCACGTTATGCTTTTTAATAGCTGAATAGTATTCCGTATTTTAAATGAACCACATATTCTGTGTCCATATTTCAGTTGAGGGGCATCTGCATTCTTTCCAGTTTCTAGCTGTTATAGATAAAATGGCTATGAAATTAGTGGAGCAAATATGCATGTGGGTATATGTCTCAGAAGGTACCCTAAGTGTAACACTTCCTCCTGCTAAGTCTGAAATTAATGGAAGGAGTATGCAAAGTGATTCCTAGTCCTAGGAAGGAACTTTAAATAAAACCTGCTGCAGCTATGGTCCCTGCAAGGGAGATCCCATCAACTTACAAGGCAAACTTGACAGAATCACCCATATTGTGCAGCTTCTCGAAACTGAAAGATGGAAAATTCAGGGTCATGAAGTCTTCCTTTATGGTTTCAGTTTAGCACTATTCCAGCCATTTTTGGCAGAGTCAAAGCCACAGTGAAGATTCTGTGAAAGTTCATTGCATTGAATTTGTTGAGGAGAATGCTTGGGTTGCATTTTGCAACTACAACTTGTTAAGCTACCTAAAGCATCGAGAAATATGCTATGGAGAGATACATACAGGGAGAGGAAGTACCCAAAATGAGGGATGTATGACTAGTTACAGGAAAAGAGCCCTCGAAGCCTTTAGAATCTGAAGTCCAATGTGTCTGAGACAAAGCTCTAGGATTTGGATGTTTGCCCTTCTGTGTTTCTTGCCTTGATCCTATCTTCTCTCCCAAGGTGCACATTCCTATCTATTAGAATGGGAAGGAGTATTCTGTGCCATTGTATGTTAGAAAGATATAACTTGCTTTCTGATTTCATAAGATGTGTCTTTCAAGATGTTGCCTTCAAAGTCAGAAGAGACTTTAGACATTTGAACAATTTAGGAGCTCCTACAAATTATTAGGATCACTTAATATTGAATGCATTTACCTCACAGGATGGACATGAGTCTCTAGTTTTCAGGGTCAGAATGCAGTTGATTGAAACAAAAAGCTTCTAGATAGGATGGTGTTTTTGAGCACTAGTCTGTCATGTCTGGCTTTCTTTGTGGAGCTTGTGGAAGCTCTTGTAGGAGGAGCCTTTAAAGATTCCTTTTAGGGGATAGGATAGTGTGAACACTCTTAAAATTTTTCTTCCTTTATTACTTTCTTTTTTTCAGCAATAATTTATATATTTATTATAACCTTGATCACTGTCCCTACTGTAAGTACCCTGCCTTTCTAGAGTCCCTCCCACCAATCTCTTTTGTTTCTCCTTTGAAAGGGTGTGGGCTTCATAGGTATCTCCACTCCATGGTGCTTCAAGTCATGGGTTAAGTGCATCCTCTCCCACTGAGGCCAGCCATGGCATCCCTGTTAAGAGAACAGATTTCAAATATAGGCAGCAGCTTTAGGGACTAGCCCTGCTACATTAGTTAGGGAATGATCAAGAAGACTGAGCTGCATATCTGCTAAATATGGACTCAGAGGGAGCCTTAGTCCAGGATGTGTATGCTGTTCTGTTTGTGGCTCAGTCACTGAGTGTCCCCAAGGGTCCTGATTAGTTGAGTCTGTTGTTCTTCCTGTGGTTTTTCTATTCCCTTGAGGACCTTCAATTCTTCTCCCAACTCTTCCATAACAGTCCTCAAGGTCAACTGAAAGTTTGACTGTGGTTCTCTGCATCTTTTTCAGTCAGCTGCAGGGTAGAGCACCACAGTGGACAATTATGCAAGGTTCCTGTGTGGGAGTGTAATAGAATATCCTTAATAATGCCATGTACTAACCTTACTATTTGGGTGTGTCTGTAGTTGGGCAAGTTTTCATTGGCCATTTCCTCATTCTGTGCTGCAACTTTACCCCTACACTTCTTTTAGACAAGACAAATTTTGTTCTGTGTGTCTACTGTGGTGTTGTTGAATTTGATCCTTCAGCTTTCTTCTCATGATTCCATACATTCACCATTTGATCTCTGTCCCTAAGTCACATAAGATACAGTATAAACATTTGCTATTCATTATAAATATAATTTACAAGCCTGTTGGTTTTATATTTTTAACTTTATTCTTTTGTTTTTGTTTTTCAAGATAAATTTCTCTGTGAATCCCTTCCTGTCCTGATGGTAGATAAAGAATCCACACAAGCCACCTGACATATTTTTGTTAAAAAAACAAAAACAAAAACACATGCTTCTGTGCTGATCTTAATCCACATCTTTAATTTTGAAATTTGTCCAAATATATAGGTTATATTCTATTTCTAAAGATGGCATATGGTCATGATATCAATACTACCTGAGGTTTCAGAGTCATTGGATTCCAGATGTATAACGTTCTGCCTTACTCTTGTGTTTCTTCTAAAATTTTTGGATAAATAGGAGTATTTTGCCTGTGTGAATGAATATGATTATCATATATGCCTCATGTTTAGTTTTGTCAGAATGTGGCCTCAGAACTCTTGATCTTCATGTTATGGGTAGTTGTTGGTCCCCATGTACATGTTAGAAATTGACCACCATTATGTGGAAGACCATCCAGAGCTTTCCACTTCTGCGTTATCTCATTCTCCTGCCCTATGTTACTTATTAATGATCAACATTTATATTACTAATATTCTCATCAGTTTATTTGTATCTTTTTAAACATGCATCCCTTTTTAGTAAAATTTTATTAATGCTGCATTTTAAACGGGCATACTTTATGTTTCTAGAAGATGAATACAGAACAACTTTGAATGTATAATTTATTTTCAGTGATGTTAGTATCATGGTTTGTGTTATACACATATTTTAGGATCCAGTGACTTTTGATGATGTACATATTAACTTCACTGGAGAAGAGTGGAATTCACTAGATCCTTCCCAGAAGAATCTCTACAAAGATGTGATGCTGGAGACCTACCGGAACCTCACTGATATAGGTAAGACTGAATTTTCTTTTGCTTTTCAAAAATAAGGGCACAAATATATCCTGGTTATTGATGATATTCTGTTATTTTAATTGAGAAGAAGGAAGATTGAGAGGAATAAATCAGGGTCGGTGCTGTGAAAATTCACAGTGTCTTGAATTTTGCCTAATTTCCAATACTATATCATTCATTTTCTGGTACTGTGTTTTAGGCTACAATTGGGAAGACCACCATTTTGAAAAAGAATTTCAACATTTTAAAAGGTACAAAAGGTAATCTTAATATGCAAACTAATGCAAATATGCCTCTGAGGAAATTTTAGTTTCTCCTGGAAACTCTAAAAAAAGGAAGTATGTAAAATATCAGTCCTTTAAGTATAACTATAATTACAATATTCTCACAAAGCCATGTGCCTCAATGTCAGTTATCTGATTTGTGTTTGCAAGGCATTCCTCTAAGGAAGAAGACATAGAAACAATGCTTTAAGAGATACCTTTATTTGATTTGTAGCTCCATTGGAGCTATGCTGTGGAACTACCAATCTGAATAGTATCATAAAATTTAGATGTTACACATTGAATAGTGATAAATATATATCAAAAGCCATCCAATAAGTAAATAGTCCATGGTAAATTTTGTGATACTCATATTCTTGTAGTGACATTGCTAAGTTTATTGAGAGGTCACTTTATGAGAATCAAGAATGTTGTTGTGGAGAAACCTCAATCCACATACAGTATATCTACAAGGAACAAAAAGTCAAATGGTGTTAATTCAATATGGAAACCATGCATTTCTTCTTTTTCTGGGTATATCAAGTGTCAGAATAAAAAAAAAAAAAAAAACATGTGAGCACATGAATATTTAAAGAGCAATGTACTTCTCTCTATTTCAGGATAGTGAGAAGATATGTAGTATTCTGCCTTTGGTAGATGTTCTGAATATGATAGAAGTTTTCAATTAATTGGTTTTCTGACTTTACTGGGAATATCACCAAAGTCACACTGCAGGCCTGAGGGTACTAGATATTTGTAAATTTTTCTGTTTTTCCTGGTTCACGGTGCTAATGTGATATGATCCACACTACGGAAAATTTATGAAAAAAATCAGTATTATAGTGGTCTGCGTTTTTCCATTATCCTTCAGATACCTGCAATACAATATATAGAAATCTCATATAGAAAAACGATGTTATAACTGTGAGCCAAGAAATAAATATTTTTGTCATCACAGGTATTTTTCAAACAGGCAAATCAAGCCATAGTTGGGAAGAACATCATGAATCTGTGAAGAGATAAAACTTTAAGATATGATTCTTTTTTTGTTTTATTAAACCAAACTGTAAAATTAATTCATATTGATGAATTGCTTGATCATGGTAATGAATGTGGTAAAGCTTTCACTTGTGCCAATTATCGTTGCAGGCATGTAAGAAGTCATAGCCAGGAGAAACAACATGAATGTAATCAATGTAGTAAAGCCTTTATAACACACAGTCATCTCAAAAGACATAAAAGAATACATTCGGGAGAAAAATCTTATGAATGTAATCAGTGTGGTAAAGCTTTTTCAAAGCAGAGAAATCTCCAAACTCATAAAAGAACACATACTGGAGAGAAACCTTATGAATGTAATCAATGTAGTAAAGCCTTTGCAAGACGCGATCATCTCCAAAGTCATAAAAGAACACATACTGGAGAGAAACCTTATCAATGTAATCAATGTAGTAAAGCCTTTTCACATAAGAGTAGTCTCCAAAGTCATAAAAGAAAACATACTGGAGAGAAACCTTATGTATGTAATCAATGTGGTAAAGCCTTTGTTTATCAGAATAAGCTCCAATGTCATAAAAGGACCCATACTGGAGAGAAACCTTATGAATGTAATCAATGTGGTAAAGCCTTTTCACGGCAGAGTACTCTCCAAAGTCATAAAAGAACACATACTGGAGAGAAACCTTATGAATGTAAACAATGTGGTAAAGCCTTTTCACAGCAGAGTACTCTCCAAAGTCATAAAAGTACACATACTGGAGAGAAACCCTATGAATGTAATCAATGTGGTAAAGCCTTTTCATATCAGAGTAGTCTCCAAAGTCATAAAAGAAAACATACAGGAGAGAAACCTTATGAATGTAATCAGTGTGGTAAAGCATTTTCAAAACGGAGTAGTCTACAATATCATAAAAGAACACATACTGGAGAGAAACCTTATGAATGTAATCAATGTGGTAAAGCCTTTGTTTGTCAGAATAATCTCCAACGTCATAAAAGGATCCATACTGGAGAGAAACCTTATGAATGTAATCAATGTGGTAAAGCCTTTTCACAGCAGAGTATTCTCCAAAGGCATAAAAGAAAACATACTGGAGAAAAACCTTATGAATGTAATCAATGTGGTAAAGCTTTTTCCTGGCAAAGTACTCTTCAAAGTCATAAAAGAACACATACTGGAGAGAAACCTTATGAATTAAATCAATGTAATAAAGCCTTTGCAAGATCCTGTCTTCTCAAAAGTCATAAAAGAACACATACTGGAGAGAAACCTTATGAATGTATTCAATGTGGTAAAGCATTTTCAAAATGGAGTACTCTACAATATCATAAAAGAACACATACTGGAGATAAACCTTAGGACTGTAATTAATGTGGTAAAGCCTATTTACAAGGGAGATGTCTCCAAAACTGTAAAAGATCACATACTGGAGAGAAATCTTATGAATGTAATCAGTGTTATAAAGCATTTGAAAGTCATAGCCATCTGCAGTTTTATAAAAGATCCTGAAAGACCCCTCAGAGCAGAGACCCTCACTCAACTCTTGGGAGATCATGGCCATCCAATGACCCTCGAGACACCGTTCCTGATGCAATCAGCAAGAGGTTTATTTCAGGAAATCAGCTCGCTGAGGCCTAGACTCCTGACCCATGCAGGGGCAGAGGATCTCGACCCCCAGCTCAAGTAGAATAGGGTATTTAAAAAAAATAACCACAAACCATGGGGAGTGAGGGGTGTTGCTGGAAAGTACCAGTGGAAAGTCCCAGTCTATTATTCAGCATGTGACAGGGTTCAAGGAACAATCATGGCGAAGTATAGATTTTTTTTCTCAAGAACTCAATCTTATACAACCATATCATCTACTTTGTGGTCAGACAAATTCTTGGAACACAAAGCCCAGATGTAGCTCACCTGCTGTCTTGGCTCTATTCTATCTGCTAGTCTGCTAGGGGTAAAAATTCTATTAACCTTTCAATCCATACAAGAGATAAACGACATGAATGCTTTCAATGTGGTAAAGCCTTTTCATATCATCTTCTTGATAAGCAAAAAATTGCTCTGAAGAGAACCCCTGTTAATGTAATCACTGTTGTAAAACCTTCTCAATTCACTGTCATCTGCCAATACATAACAGAACACATTCAAGAGAGTAACCCTATGAAGGTAATAAGTGTTTTAAGCTCTTGCGAGTTACAGTTATCGCCCAATACATAAAAGAACACATACTGTAGAGAAACTCCATGGATGTCATGAATGAGGTAAAGCTTTTCCAGGAGAGCCATCTCTGAATACACAAAAGAAAATGTGCAGGAGAAACCTTATGAATTTAATCAATGTAAGAAAGCCTTTGTATATCACAGTTGTCTCCAAATATATGAAGGAGCACATAGTGAAGAGAAGCCCTATGTGTGTAATGAATGTGGTAAAGCCTTTGCATGTCACTGTACTCTCCAAATACTACAAGGAGCACACACTTAAAGAAACCTTATGAATGAAATAAACATGGAAAAGCCTGTGCATTTCACTATAGTTTCCAAAGACATAAAAGAACACATATTGGATAGAAAACTTGTGAGTGTTCTAAACTCACCTCTACCAACATCCCTTTGCCCTGGGGCATCAAGTTTGTGCAGAGTCAAGTGGATCCTCTCCCAGTATGGTCAGACAAGGCAGTCCTCTGCTACACACATGCCTAGGGCCATTAACCAGCCTCTGTGTGCTCTCTGGTTATGGTTTACTCTCTGTAAGCTCTGAAGTGTCCAGGTTAGTCAACACTGTTGTTCTTCCTATGAGGTTGTCATTCTCTTTATCTCCTTAAGCCCTTCCTCTGACTCTTCTATATGGAACATTTCACCCTTAAACAATTATACATATGTATTAGTATTCTCATCACCTCATGGCATTTTCTCCAAAATTGACCACGTAATCTGTCTCAAGGCAAGCCTCAACAGATAAAAGAAGACTGAAATAGTCTCATGCATTCTATAAAATCACTACAGACTAAGCCCCGACTTCAATAACAAAAACATGAGAAAGCCACATACTCATGGTAATTGAACAACTCTCTATTCAGTGATAACTTGGTCAAGGAAGAAATAAAGAAATGAAAACTTTCTAAAATTTAATGAAAATGAATGCACAGCGTACCCAAACTTATGGAACACAACTAAAGCAGTGGTAACACAAAAATGCATAGCATCAAGTGCCCTTTTAAAGATACCAGAGAGATACTACACTAGCAACTAGGAAATAATCAAACTCAGGGTAGAAATCAACCAATAAGAAACAAAAAGTGATACAGAGACTCAATAAAGCCAAGAGCTGATTCTTTGAGAAAATCAACAAGATAGAAAAACACGACCTGGAAGGCACAGTGACAGTATCCACATTTTAAAAAATCAAAAATGAAAAGAGAAACAGAAAAATTTTTGAAATCATCTGCTCTTTCTATTTACTGGAAAATCTAGATGAAAAGGATAATCATCTAGACAGATACCACAAACCTAAGTTAAATCAAGCTCAGGTAAATTATCTAAATTGTTCCATAGCCGGGCGGTGGTGGCGCACGCCTTTAATCCCAGCACTTGGGAGGCAGAGGCAGGTGGATTTCTGAGTTCGAGACCAGCCTGGTCTACAGAGTGAGTTCCAGGACAGCCATGGCTACACAGAGAAACCCTGTCTCAAAAAACCAAAAAAAAAAAAAAAAAACTAAATTGTTCCATAATCCATAAGGAAATCAAGGAACTCTTTAAACCCCCCCCCCAAAAAAAAAACTAGTGCTAGGTAGTTTTAGAGAAGAATTCTACCAGACCTTCAAAGAAGAGCTGAGACAGAAGGAATACTACCTAATTCTTAATTTTTTTAAATGCCAATTATTGGTTTCAAATACATCACTGCTTTAATTTTTGTTGGTTTTCATTCCTCTACATTCCCAGGTCTTTAAGAATTTCTTTACTTTTTTTTCAAGTCCTGTTGATTATTGATTTCTGTTCACAGGAATGATGCCTGTAGCTGAGACTTGCCACTTTGTATGTAATCGAGAATTACTTTCAGCACTCAATCCTTTCTCTTCAGCTCAGTGAATTATAGAGTGTCTTGCAACTTTTCAAGACTGGTCCTTGCCTGGTCAGTGCAAAGCAAAAATAAAACACTGAGTAAGTTTCCTCCAGTGTCTCTAGCTTTTCTTAGGTCTTAATATGAACAGAGGCCTGTGCAAGAATCAAGTCCTATGACCAACATTGAAGCAGCGTTAGTCCCAGTACAAAAAGATGGAAAAGGAGTGTGAAAGCTTCTCTGCTTTGACAGTGATTGATGTTACCAAAGAGTTGTGAGGTAGTTAATTTTAGACGAACAATATATGTCCTTATTGGCCTTTCCTTGTGTCTGCACACTAGGCAATCAGGAATCTTGATAAAAAAAAACTGAACTTGCCGGGCGGTGGTGGCGCACGCCTTTAATCCCAGCACTTGGGAGGCAGAGGCAGGCGGATTTCTGAGTTCGAGAGTTCGAGGCTAGCCTGGTCTACAGAGTGAGTTCCAGGACAGCCAGGGCTACTCAGAGAAACCCTGTCTCGAAAAACCAAAAAAAAAAAAACAAAAAAAAAAAAAAAAACAAAACTGAACTTATGTTAAACCTAATTAATGTAGTTACACTACTTCAACCAAAATAAGAAGCCTAGGTATCAATGATATGGCACTATCTAAATGGACTCTTATATTCTAGGTTTAAAATGTTAAAGCCCGAGAGAAAAAGTATAAGTAATATTTGATTTGCTCTAATACAAGATCTAAGACTCTGGACACATGGCCATAAAGCCTGGTGCAACATTTTACAATGATTCTTTTCTGATTATAATTACATCATTACTATCATTTTTTTTTCCTGCCTTGAATGATTGCTTAATAAACACACCTAAAGTCTAAAGCTGGGGAGAAGAAAGGTAGAATGTGCTTCTGTTCCCAGGTTTGGTGTCCAGAGAAGGGACCATGAAAGAGGGAGAAGAGGAAGAAGGTGCCATGGGGTAGGTGGGTTGTGAGTGCATGGACAGGAGGGCTGGCCTAGGAGTATGAACAGGCTAGAGAGAACATGACAAGTGCTACCTCACAGTTATTAACAGGGAAGTAGACAAAATACCATAAAGGGTTGATATCTGCCCAACTCTGGTGCTTTAATGCTTATAAATACAAAGTCTTTTGTGTCTTTTATTTGATACCTCCTTGATTTAATTTAGGTAGAGACACCCAAATAGTATTCACCACAAAAAGATAGATGTAATTATGGTTTGAGTCTGATGATGGAAATGGAATGGAAAGTAAGGTGGTAGAGGATAATCCTGGCTCTGGTTCTTTCTAGAAAGTGTCATACAGTGCTTTCAGACAGCTTTTCTTTAAAGAAGATGAAGGGGAGGGATTGTTCCAGTAACCCATTATCAGATACTGAACTTGAAAACCACTGTGCTGCCCCCTGTGGTGGTGCATGCCTATAATGTCAGAACCCAACAGACAAGGCAGGAAGATCAGAAGGCCAAAATCCAGCTCAGCTATCTAATGAATTTTTGACTAGCCTAAGCTAAATTAAACCCTGTCTTACTTTCACCTCAAATATTTTCATCAAAACTGGTTAGAAAAAGTGTCATGTGAATACATACATCCACACATATCTCTTTCTACTTAATGTTTCTATATGTGGATAAAAGCATTGGGAAAACAAGTAGAATCAATAATAAAATATTAAAATAAATTTCTAGGGGGAAATTTAAGTTTACTTTAGCTTTTGTATTTTCTGTTTTGCATCTGTATTTTTGTCATTTTCTGTATCAAACATACATTCCTTGTGCAGTTTAATCAAAAGCACAATCTGTGACAAATAGTCTACACAAAAGGTATGGTGTGTCATGTGTTATAATTTCATTCTAATTCCTATGGATTTGAAGAAACGGTTTCAAATACACATTTGTAGCCCAGCTTCAGGGGTCACACATGGATCTGGAGATTCTCTAGTAGGAGAAGGCCAAGAAAATCTCTAGTGCTAGAGATAAATCACATAATACCCAGGATGAGATTTTGTTTTCTCATTAAGCAGCAGCAAAGCCTGTTTCAGAGTAAGACACTTACATTGCTTATTGCAAGAAGAGCTTAGTAAGGTGAAAGCAGAGCTTGAGAGCAGGAATAAGAGCATCTGAATATGACAAATCAAAACTGTGTAGAGCAGTTTCCAGTTGAGATATCAACAGTGTGAAGGACAGTGAAGAGAGGAGGCAGCAAGGTCACAAGGTGACTGAGTGGCATCCTTACTCGAGAAGATGAACACATACATCTCTTGCTACATGGTGTGCAGTTACTGATCTAGTGAGTGCCTTTTTGTCACTATGTCTCCATTAACATCACCAGAAGCAATTTGCATTATTTGGCACTGCCACTTGTATTCCTTTACAGTTTTGACTCGAGGATACATTATCTTATATTTACGACAAAGCCCTGTGTCATAACTTAGAAGGGACCTTGATCATCTGTGTTGTCCGTAAAATATGATATTAGTGGTCTAAAGTGCACATTATATAGAATTGACCTAGTGAGCATCGAGTGTCACCCAATTTGGACTAATTGGTAACCCATATGGGCATAAGGATTGAAAATAAATCCAACTAAAATTTAACAGTCTTCTAATTTAATGAAATGCTTAGGAATCTAGTAGTATTGGGAATTCAAAGACATTAATACCAAAGTGAAAGATAGATCATTGCACCTGGCCACTCCCACTACAAAGAAAGAAGCACAACAGTTAGTATGGCTTTTAGGATTTTGGAGACAGCACACTCCTCACTTCAGTGTGTTACACCAACCACTAAGTATACCAAATATCCCAGAAAGCTACTAGCTTTCTCTTGGGGGCCAAGAACAGGAGAAGGCTCTGTAACAGAACCCAGCTGCTGTGCAGGCTATTCTACCAGTTCCATTTTCAGAGAAGACTGTTGTTTGGAGCCTTTGGCAGGCCCTCATTGTGAATAATAGATTCTGATCATTTGAGCAAGGCTCTACCATCAACTCTGCCCAACTATTTTGCATTTTAAATACAGATCTTGGCCTGCTATTCCATCTTAGTAGAAAGTGAACAGACAGTGAGCCACCAAAGTTACCATAAAACCTGAATTGACCTTGATGAACTGAGTGCCATTAGTCCCAACCAGACAGCAGTAATATGACCATGTCCTGACTGCACAAGAAAGTTACATAGAAAGTTGCCCAGATGCCTATAGTTTCTACTCCTGTACAATGCCCTCTGCTATCATGCATGCACCAAGGCCTTCCTGGGATATGCCCTATCATTAAATGACTGAGGAAGTGATAAGTCCATCCTAGTTTACTAAGAGTTCTGTTATGCAGGCACCATCCAGAAGTAAACAACTGCAGCATGAAAATATGTTTCCAATACAACCCTGAAAGGCACCAGTAAAGGGAAATTTTCATATTACTCAGAGTTTCATGCAGTAGTCATTGTCATACATTTGTTTGAAAATGTGTGATTATGCACTGAATCATCAGCTATAAACACTGGGATGCTTAACTGCCAGAGACTTGGAAAGAGAATGATTAGAAAATTGTTGAGTCATAAAAGAAGGAAGTATGTGGATAGATCTCTCAAAATGGTCAAAAGATGTAAAGATATTTATGTCCCATGTAAATACTGATCAAAGGTAAGTTCAGCTGGGCAAACATTCAGTAATCATGTAGGGAGGATGATTCATTCTGTGTGAAGTCAGCCTTGTCCTCAGCAATATCTGTCATTTTTCAATGAGCCCATGAAGATGGTGGCCATCGTGAAGCAGTGGGGTTTATACACAGGTACAACAGTAGCCTGACATGGCCACCTCTCCTGGTGAGTGCCAGTTCTACCAACAGCAGAGACCAACACTGAGCACTAGATATGGAACTATAACTTGGGTTGACCAGCCAGAGAGTTGGTGGCAGGTTGACTACATTGGATCATTTATCATGAGCAAAGGAGAATGCATTCATCTTTGTGGAGTAGATATGTATTCTGCTTATCATTTTATTTGTATGCACATATTACTTCTGCCAAAACCACTATGCATGAACATGCTGAGTGCCTCATTGCCCACAATGGCATTCCACACAGTATTGCTGCTGACCAAGGAACTCATTTCACAGCAGAGAAGTGAGACAGTGGGCCAATGATCATGGATTCTAATGGTGTTAATTACCATGTTCCTTGATACCCTGAAGTACCTGAACTGACAGCTTGATACCCTGAAGTACCTGAACTGACAGAAAAATACAATGACCTTTAGAAGACACTTTTACATAGTCAATTATGGGACAGCCTCCTGGAGATCTGGGCAGGTTCCTAGAGTATATATATTTTCAAGCAGCATATAGTACTTGGTATGTTTTCTCTCATAGCCTAGATTCATGATGTCAGGAGTCAAGGTTTTGGAAAACCTGTGTGAATGGCGCAGTCCTCCATATCTCAGTGGAACTCAGCTGAAAATGGAAGACTCCCTTTATCAGCAGGGCTTCCATTTCTCTGCCTGACTCTGTCTGGACACTGTTCCTGAACAAAGGTGTCTGTCCTTAGCTAATGAATGTCCTTGTGCAAGCTGCTTAAACTCAGCACATAAGCCCCAACCTGGCTTCCCTGCCTACATGATAATTAGGTATACTATTATGACCAATTAACCCTTTCCACATGTACCCCTAAAAGCCTTCATATACCATATTCCTGAGACAATAAAATAAAGTAAAATTCACTCACTGTGCTGGTCTCAGGAGATTATCCTATACTACTCACAGCCGTCTCAAACCAGATTGCCATGGCAGCTCCCTTTGTCCTCACTGTTTGGTGGCTAAAACCACCCAAGGAGAAAGAAGACACACCAATGCTGTAGCCCTTAGTGGCCTGGAAGTGGAAAAAAATGATTCATTTCCCTATGACCTTAAGTTCTGTTAATTGATAATACTATGTCTTCTGATTAAAGACAATGGGAACCTACAACAGCCTTTTCCAGATAGAATTACAAAGGGCACAGACTCGTCCAGGAAAAATGCCAGATCTGCTGAGGTTATTACCAAGGTTGAGGAAAAATACAGAATGGGTTGTAGAGGAAGGTACTTATAAAAATAAACAAAGGCCTAATTGCATGACTAATTGCAGAAATGAGGATTATTAGTGATGTGAGTGTTCAAGTCATATTTGATAATGTTGTTTATCTAGAGATAGTTGCATTTTCTTTCCTCAGGTCCAGAAAATCAGTTAAGAGAATATCAATGGTCATCACAATTGAAGTTGAGACACTGAGAAAATGTTCTCATGATGCATTATAATATCTTTATGGGTCTGTGCTTGTACAAGGGTTAGTTCAATCATTTTAGGCCAATAAATAATGCTTTTCCTTACTCTTTAAATAGTAACATTCAGAGCTGGAGAGATGGATCAGCAGTTAAGAGCACTGACTGCTCTTCCAGAAGTCCTGAGTTCATTTCCCAGCAACCACATGGT